GGACAATGTATATATTTAAGTTCAAATGAAAAAAGCCCAGAAATCTTCCAAAGTACAACATGTCATTTATTTGAACATAGAGCACAAATATGTTAAAGTGTAAACAATTTGAACCTGTGGATTATTTACAGTCTTGGCGTGTCCCATCAGTAGCATAGCATTAATTCTGTAACCACCTGCAACTGATGGGTGAGTGTCCCTTTAAGACCATGAATTCTAACTTTTATTAGAATAAGCCAGACTTCAATGAGAGAAACATCTTACATGGTTATTAGAGTTCAAGAAAGGGAAAGAGAGGGAGAGAGAAACAGTCAGAGACAAAGTAGGGGAGAGAGACAGAAAGGGAGAGACAGAGCCAGGATACGGGGTGTGGGGGGGAGAGAGCCAGAGAGGAAGAGGGAGACAGAGTTCTCAAATTGAGATACAAACAGAGTGAGAAAGGGAAAAAAAATTAAAAAAAAAAAAAAATTTATATATATATATATTGAAAAGGAGAGAGCCTTGTGCTAGGTGCAATGTGAGCTCCGCCCATTACACCTGGCAGTCAGTATAGAGAGAGCCACCTCCATCTTAGCTCCCTGTCAATCATTGTTATAAGCTCCGCCCATTACACCTGGCAGTCAGTATAAAGAGAGCCGCCTCCATCTTAGCTCCCTGTCAGTCATTGTTATAAGCTCCACCCTTTACACCTGGCAGTCAGTATAGAGAGAGCCGCCTCCATCTTAGCTCCCTGTCAATCATTGTTATAAGCTCCGCCCATTACACCTGGCAGTCAGTATAGAGAGAGCCGCCTCCATCTTAGCTCCCTGTCAATCATTGTTATAAGCTCCGCCCTTTACACCTGGCAGTCAGTATAGAGAGAGCCACCTCGATCTTAGCTCCCTGTCAATCATTGTTATAAGCTCCGCCCTTTACACCTGGCAGTCAGTATAGAGAAAGCCACCTCCATCTTGGCTCCCTGTCAGTCATTGCTATAAGCTCCGCCCTTTACACCTGGCAGTCAGTATAGAGAGAGCCGCCTCCATCTTAGCTCCCTGTCAATCATTGTTATAAGCTCTGCCCTTTACACCTGGCAGTCAGCGTAGAGAGAGCCACCTCCATCTTAGCTCCCTGTCAATCATTGTTATAAGCTCCTCCCATTACACCTGGCAGTCAGTATAGAGAGAGCCACCTCCATCTTAGCTCCCTGTCAATCATTGTTATAAGCTCCGCCCATTACACCTGGCAGTCAGTATAGAGAGAGCCGCCTCCATCTTAGCTCCCTGTCAATCATTGTTATAAGCTCCGCCCTTTACACCTGGCAGTCAGTATAGAGAGAGCCGCCTCCATTTTAGCTCCTGTCAATCATTGTTATAAGCTCCGTCCATTACACCTGGCAGTCAGTATAGAGAGCCGCCTCCATCTTAGCTCCCTGTCAATCATTGTTATAAGCTCCGCCCTTTACTCCTGGCAGTCAGCATAGAGAGAACCACTTCCATCTTAGCTCCCTGTCAATCATTGTTATAAGCTCCGCCCTTTACACCTGGCAGTCAGTATAGAGAGAGCCGCCTCCATCTTAGCTCCCTGTCAATCATTGTTATAAGCTCCGCCCTTTACACCTGGCAGTCAGTATAGAGAGAGCCACCTCCATCATAGCTCCCTGTCAATCATTGTTATAAGCTCCGCCCTTTACACCTGGCAGTCAGTATAGAGAGAGCCCCCTCCATCATAGCTCCCTGTCAATCATTGTTATAAGCTCCGCCCTTTACACCTGGCAGTCAGTATAGAGAGAGCCGCCTCCATCATAGCTCCCTGTCAGTCATTGTTATAAGCTCCGCCCTTTACACCTGGCAGTCAGTATAGAGAGAGCCACCTCCATCTTAGCTCCCTGTCAATCATTGTTATAAGCTCCGCCCATTACACCTGGCAGTCAGTATAGAGAGAGCCACCACCATCTTAGCTCCCTGTCAATCATTGTTATAAGCTCCGCCCTTTACACCTGGCAGTCAGTATGGAGAGAGCCACCTCCATCTTAGATCCCTGTCAATCATTGTTACACCTGGCAGTCAGTATAGAGAGAGCCACCTCCATCTTAGCTCCATGTCAATCATTGTTATGAGCTCCGCCCTTTACACCTGGCAGTCAGTATAGAGAGAGCCGCCTCCATCTTAGCTCCCTGTCAATCATTGTTATAAGCTCCGCCCTTTACACCTGGCAGTCAGTATAGAGCCACCTCCATCTTAGCTCCCTGTCAGTCATTGTTATAAGCTCCGCCCTTTACACCTGGCAGTCAGTATAGAGAGCCACCTCCATCTTAGCTCTCTGTCAATCATTGTTATAAGCTCCGCCCTTTACACCTGGCAGTCAGTATAGAGAGAGCCACCTCCATCTTAGCTCCCTGTCAATCATTGTTATAAGCTCCGCCCTTTACACCTGGCAGTCAGTATAGAGAGAGCCGCCTAGATCTTAGCTCCCTGTCAATCATTGTTATAAGCTCCGCCCTTTACACCTGGCAGTCAGTATAGAGAGAGCCGCCTCCATCTTAGCTCCCTGTCAATCATTGTTATAAGCTCCGCCCTTTACACCTGGCAGTCAGTATAGAGAGAGCCATCTCCATCTTAGCTCCCTGTCAATCATTGTTATAAGCTCAGCCCACTACACCTGGCAGTCAGTATAGAGAGAGCCACCTCCATCTTAGCTCCCTGTCAGTCATTGTTATAAGCCCCGCCCTCAGGGCCGGCCTTAGGTGATCAGACGCCCTGTGCGAGCCCAACATATGGCGCCCCCCCCCCTTCAGCAAAACCTCTGCCCCTTCTACAATAGCCCTGTTCCGCCTTCTACAAAACCCTTCCACAAACCCCAGCCCCCCTTTCTACAAAAACCCTGCCCCCCTTTTTACAAAACCCTGCCCCCTCTACAAAACCCCTGCTCCCCCTTTAATAAAACCCCTGCCCACCCTTCTATAATTTTTTTTCTCCCCCTTTAACAAAACACATGCTATCATTATATATATCAACTATACAGCAATGTTCACATAATATCACTAAAAACCTTCCCCCTCCACCAAAACCACTGCCACCCTCTACAAAAGTCCTGCACTCATTCTACATAAACCTCTGCTCCCCTTCTACAAAACCCCTGCTCCCCTTATACTAAGCCCCTGCTCCCCTTCAACTAAACCCCTGCTCCCTTATACTAAACCCCTGCCCCCCTTATACTAAACCCCTGCTCCCCTTATACTAAACCCCTGCCCCCTTATACTAAACTCCTGCCCCCCTTATACTAAGCCCCTGCTCCCCTTATACTAAACTCCTGCCCCCCTTATACTAAACCCCTGCCCCCCTTATACTAAAGTCCTGCCTCCCCTTATACTAAACCCCTGCTCCCTTCTACTAAACCCTGCCCCTTATGCTAAACTTCTGCTTGCTGTACCCTGAAACTCCACCTTATACTGACCCCTGCTCCTTATACTAAACCCTGCTCCCCTTATACAAGCCCTGCTCCCCTTATGCAAACCCTGCCGCTAGCTAAACAAGCCCCTGCTCCCTTATACTAAACCCTGTCATACTATAAACCCCCTGCCCCCTTATACTAAACTCCTGCCCCCTTATACTAAGCCCCTGCTCCTCTTGCTTGTAAACTCCTGCCCCGTTATACTAAACCCCTGCCCCCCTTATACTAAAGTCCTGCCTCCCCTTATACTAAACCCCTGCTCCCCTTCTACTAAACTCCTGCCCCCTTATACTAAACTCCAGTACCTCCCTGGACATTAAGGAAGGGAGGACATGACTGCTGGCAGGGATAAGGGGTTGGGTCACAAGGGGATACATTGTTACACATGGGGGGACATTAAGATGGGGAAAAAGGGGAGGGTACTCACCAGTTCCTGGGCAGAGGTGTAGTGTTGCTAGCTTCCCCTGGGACTGTCCAAAAAAAAAAAAGAATTTTCAATTATTACTATTTTCATTTGGATTTTCTACTTACCTGACTTCCCCCTCATCTGGCATCGGGAGAATGGCTTCAGCTGTGTCAAGGGAAGATGTGGTAGCCTTACTGCAGGCGTACCTTGCCTCTCATGGATCCGGTGCTTTGGAGGAGGTGATCGCTGGGGTGGATAATCGCCCGGCTCCTGCTGCAGCTTCAGGGACTTCTTCTATCCCGTCGGATGGCCGTAGGAGGACCAGGCGTTCCAGGCCTCCTACGCGCCTGTCCCCCAGTCCGGTGTCCAGACGTCGAGGTCGCCAGCGGGAACAGCGGATTGGCACCGCCAGGTCTTCCCCGGTGCGGAGTGGAAGGAGACCGGCGGCGGCCATCATCGTTGGTGGACAAGATGGCGGCTTGGCGGGAAGATCTCGGAGCCCGCCGTCTCTTCCGGTCCCAACGGCGGGAAGAGAGAGGACGCCGGAAGTGAGTGGAAGCGTCGGCGTGCGTCAGGCCGCCGGACGTCATCATCGGGCGCAACCGGAAGTGACGCGCCCCGCCGGATCACGGGACCCGGAAGTGACGCGCTCCGGCGGCGTCCCGAACCCGGAAATGACACACAACGTCGGCGCCCGGTCCAGAACACGGAGTTCTCAGGGCGCCGGACGCAGAGGACGGTCGGCAGGGAGAAGAGGAGACCTCAGGAGAGCCCAGACAGCCGGAGTCAACCCCCATCACCCTGAGGCAGCCGGTTTCGGAACGGTTAACCGGGAGCACACCTCAGGTCCAGCTGCAGATGTCCCTGGGAGCCCTTGGTCGGATTCTGGTTCTGAAGAGGAGGAGGTTTCGGTGCCTGCAGTTCCCCAGCGGTCCGGTGAGTGGTTACATGGCGCCGGCGTGCCAGGGACTGGGGCCCAAGATCAGGCTAGTGAGTGCTTGCGCTTGCTTAGGACCCTAGTGGCCACTTTCCCTTCCCATCTTACTGGGCTGGATACTAGACAGGTTCAGGGACAGGGTCTCCCAGGGCTGGCTGAGGGTCAGCCGCAGGGATGTTCTCAAACCCTTAGGGCTCAGCCAGGGGCTTTTCGTGCCGGTGTGGGATGTGATCTTGCACCGTTAGGTTTGCATGTCCCTATGGACGTGCAAGAGAAGATTTGGAGAGGTGAGTATGTGGATCTGCTGTCTTTGGTCTCTCCTGACAAGGATTCAGTGGACAGACCACGCCGTGGGGAGGTACCAGAGGCGGAAAAAGGTAAGCAGATACCCAGAACCTTTGGTAATTGGTTGCAGGGGTTTAACATATTTGCCAGTATCCTAGTGCGCCGGTTCCCAGATAAGGCTCCAGCCCTGTTCGGGTACTTAGATCTGATTTGGGGGGCCTACAAAATTTATGGCGGGCAATGCTGGTATCGCTATGACCAGCAATTCAGACAAAAGATGGCGGTGTGCCCGGGTATGGATTTCGCCGTGCAGGATGGCAGTCTATGGCTGTTACTTATGACTCCCAGTAGACCATCCCCCTTTCCCGGGCCTGCCGGAGGTAACTCCGGCTCCTCTGCAGGGCAGAGGAAAGGTGTGTGTTGGCTCTTTAATGAGAGCCACTGCCGCTGGTATAGCTCCTGCAGGTTCCGCCATGAGTGTGCACACTGCGGGGGAGCCCACCCCGCGGTGCGCTGCTTCCGTAAGGGGAAGCCAGTTTCGGGAAAGGGTCCCTCTCGAGATGACGTATCTAGGGGAGAGGACGCCGGTGGACGCCCTAAGGATGCTCCCGTGGCTCGTCCGGTATCATAGGGGTCGAGATGCTCAGACATTGTTTGATGGTTTTCAGGTAGGTTTCTGGATCCCCTTTGTTCCCTCTTCTTTCCCTCAGTTCGCGGACAATCTCCGCTCGGTTAAGGGCAAAGAAGATATTTTACAGCAAAAATTGCAGGTGGAGGTGCAGGCGGGTCGCATGGCTGGCCCGTTTAGTGCGCCACCTTTTCCTAACCTGAGGGTCTCCCCTCTGGGGTTGGTTCCCAAAAAGGACCCAGGTTCCTTTCGTTTGATCCAGCACCTATCCTACCCGTCGGGTGAATCGGTAAATGATGCCATTGGCAAGGACATCTGTCGCGTGCGATATGCATCATTTGATAGGGCTTTGGAATTAGTTCGTTGGGCCGGGCAAGGTGCTTTGTTGGCAAAATCTGACATAGCATCGGCTTTCCGTCTGTTGCCAGTTCACCCCTCCTGTTTTCACTTGCTAGGCTGTTTTTTTCAGGGGTTTTTTTACTACGACATGTGTTTGCCCATGGGTTGTTCTATTTCTTGTTTTTATTTTGAAATGTTTTCCTGTTTTCTCGAATGGGTAACGCTACAGGAGGCGGGTTTGGTGTCTGCTACTCACTACTTGGATGACTTCCTTTTCGTTGGCCCTCCGGGTTCGGGTGAGTGTGAGCGTCTTTTGCGAACGTTTCGGGCTGTCATGGGATATTTCGGGGTCCCCGTTGCAGAGGCTAAGACGGTGGGCCCGGTTCGGGTTTTGTCGTTTTTGGGGATTGAGATCGACTCTGTCGGTATGGTTTTTAGGCTGCCGGAAGAGAAGGTGTCGGTTCTCTTGCGGACGATCGACCTGGTTCGAGGGGCGAGGAAGGTGCAGTTGCGGCAAATGCAGGTGCTTCTGGGGCACTTGGCCTTCGCTTGCCGAGTTCTTCCAATGGGACGTGCGTTCTGCAGGCGCCTCTCCTTGTCCACGGTAGGGGTTCGGGAGCCTTTTCATTTTATCCGAGTCACGCGGCGTCTGCGCGCGGACCTCCAAGTTTGGAGCTCCTTTTTGGAGCGCTACAATGGACGCTCCTGCTGGTTGCTGGAGGCTGCGTCTAACTCGGAGTTGAACCTCTTCACGGACGCATCCAGCTCCGTGGGTTTTGGGGCATATTTTCAGGGTAAGTGGTGCGCGGAGGTATGGCCAACTCGATGGCGGGGTTTGGATGTTATGCGTAACCTGACGTTTTTGGAGTTGTTTCCCATTGTTGTTTCTCTGGAGCTCTGGGGGGAGGCTTTGGCCAACAGGACTGTTGTTTTTCACACAGACAACATGAGTGTTGTCCATGTGATAAACCGTTCCACCTCCAGTTCCCCTCCAGTTCTCGCGCTACTGCGACGGTTGGTACTTCTTTCCTTAAAGTTCAATGTTTGGATTAGAGCTTGTCATGTCCCGGGTGTTGACAACGTGGTAGCTGACTCTCTTTCTCGGTTTCAGTGGGACCGTTTTCGAGAGTCGGCGCCAGCCGCGGAGGCTGTGGGTATCCGATGTCCGGTTTCCTTATGGGAGATCGATTTGGAGGATTGAGGAGCTTGGTGTCGGACTCCTTAGCTGACGCTACCTGGAATGCATATCAAGCCGTCTGGCGGAGGTGGCTGTCCTCGTTTTCGCAGGACCTGATGCTGGGGTCGGAGTCCGGGCGCTTGGAGGCGACTCTGCTACTGTTGGAGTCCATGTTTGCGCGGGGTAAGTCTTGTTCTGCGGCCGAGAAGGCTTTGAGCGCCCTATCCTTTCTTTGTCGGTCTATGGGTTGGCAAGACGTTTCTCGGTGGTTCGGTATACAGCGGGTTATTCGGGGTTGGAGACTTAGAAGGGCCCCGGACCGCCGCCTCCCGGTGTCGGCTGACTTGCTGGGACGGATCCTGGCGGCTATGGGGGCGGTTTGTTTCTCAGACTATGAAGCCTCATTATTTCGGATTGCATTTGCTTTTTGTTTTTTTGGAGCTTTTAGGGTGGGCGAGTTGGTGGCACGCAACCGTTGGGCGGTGGGGCCGCTGCTCATGGCGGATATCCGGTGGTCCGTGGATGTTTGCATACGGCGTTCCAAGACAGACCAGGTAGGTAGGGGTTCATGGGTGCGTATCGGTGCCACGAGAGGCAGGTTTTGTCCGGTCCGTCTTTTCTCAGAGTATTTGCAGATTCGGCCGATGTGGTGCCTCTCCTTTCTGGTTCATAGGGATGGGTCCCCCCTTACACGTTATCAGTTCTCAGCTAGGTTCCGTGCTGCCTTGGTTGCATGCGGGGTGAATCCTCGCCATTATTCTACTCATTCTTTTCGGATAGGGGCGGCCACCCAGGCTAGTTTGTGGGGTTTCTGACATAGCATCGCAGCGATTCAGCGCTTGGGTAGATGGGGTTCACGGTGCTACAGGTCCTATGTCAGACCTCATTTACTATAATGCAATCTCTCCGTAGGTCCTCGGCCCCGCTGCATTTGGATACTGGGACATTCCTACGTTTATTGGGCTGCGCGGCGAGCTGAGGAGCGTCCATACGGGAGGAATTTGGGTTTTTCCTACGAGATAGCCAGGGTAAGGTGGAGGGGTATTAGGGGTATGTTGTGGCAGCAGCTGTATTCGGAGTGCGTATCCCTTCGTAGGTACGTGTCGGGGCCAGTAACCCTAGTAATTCATGCAGGGGGAAATGACCTGGGGCGCAGTAGGTCAGTGGACCTCCTGCATGCGATTAGACACGATCTGGCTCGGTGTATGGCTCTTTTCCCCGAGTTGACCCTGATCTGGTCGGACATAGTGTCCAGGCCGCGTTGGCGTTCGCTGCCGCATGCTAAGGGCGTGGAGCGTAGTAGGCGCAGGCTCAACGTGGCCATCGGAAAATTTGTCCGCCGGATTGGTGGTTTTGTCATTAGGCACAGGGAGCTGGAAGGGGACAATTCCGACTTGATGCGGAAGGATGGGGTGCACCTTTCCCTCATAGGATTGGATATCCTGAATGCGGGTCTTCAGGCAGGTATTGAGGAGGCGCTGGCTGCGGGGGGGCGCGGTCCCTCCCAGGGGAGTAGGTAGGGAGGAACCGCGGTGGCGGTAGTCCTGGCCAGCGAAGAGGTTTGGAAGAAAGTGCCCAAGCGGCTTGGGGAGTCGCAGCCTGCTGAGAGCTGATGGCGGGGGCAGGCTGCATTGGACTCGTGGGTCATTTGATAGAGCTGTCTGTTGGTAATCCCCAACAGCTGACAGGTTGTGGACGCTGGTGATAATCGATGTTAATTCTGTTAATAAAGCTGTGGCCGTTGCCCTTACCCATAAAGAAGGTGTTGTGTATTTATTGGGCAACGGGTGGTGGGAGTTTGGTCTGGGGTCAGCAGTCATGCCCCCTTATACTAAACCCCTGCCCCCTTCTACTAAACCCCTGCTCCCCTTATACTAAACTCCTGCTCCCCTTATACTAAACTCCTGCCCCCTTTACAAACCCCCTGGTCCCCCTTCAACAAAACCCATGCCCCCTCCACAAAATCCTTTCCCCTGCCACTTCACCAGAAATGCCTGCCCCCTCTTCTACAAAACCTCTCCTCTACACCAAAACCCCTACCCCCTTTTTTACAAAACCTCTAACCCCTTCTATAAAACCTCTGCTCCTCCCTAAACCAACCCACCTTCTACAAAACCCCTTCCCCAAAATCCCAGCGAGAAAACCTCTGCTCCCCCTTCTGCAAACCCCCACACACACACACAAAAACAACAATCTATTTAATTTTAAAAAAAAAAGCAATAGTTACAGAATAAACAGACTCACATTAAAGCTTGCTGCTCCCTGGAACCTCCTGACAGTGTCCCAGTCTGCCGACCTTGATACCAGCACTGACCTCCTCCCTCACACTCACTGTGCGGATCCTTCCGCGGATGACTGTGGAGGCGGAGCACGCTCTTCCTCCGTGCCCCTGACCTCCTCTCTCTCCCGGCCGCTGCTCTCTTCATAATTTGCAAGTCAAGTGCGCAGCATAATGCACATGACTCGGGCCGGCCTGTGAGTGACTGAGTGCGAGCTGTGTTGGCCGCCCGGCGCCCCTGTTGCCATGGCGCCCTGTGCGGCCGCACAGCTCGCACACCCCTAAGGCCGGCCCTGCCCGCCCTTTACACCTGGCAGTCAGTATAGAGAGAGCCACCTCCATCTTAGCTCCCTGTCAGTCATTGTTATAAGCTCCGCCCTTTACACCTGTCAATCATCATAGGAAGAGCCACCTCCATCTAAGCTCCCTGTCAATCATTGTTATAAGCTCCGCCCTTTACACCTGGCAGTCAGTATAGAGAGAGCCGCCTCCATCTTAGCTCCCTGTCAATCATTGTTATAAGCTCCGCCCTTTACACCTGGCAGTCAGTATAGAGAGAGCCACCTCCATCTTAGCTCCCTGTCAATCATTGTTATAAGCTCCGCCCTTTACACCTGGCAGTCAGTATAGAGAGAGCCGCCTCCATCTTAGCTCCCTGTCAATCATTGTTATAAGCTCCGCCCTTTACACCTGGCAGTCAGTATAGAGAGAGCCACCTCCATCTTAGCTCCCTGTCAATCATTGTTATAAGCTCCGCCCTTTACACCTGGCAGTCAGTATAGAGAGAGCCTCCATCTTAGCTCCCTGTCAATCATTGTTATAAGCTCCGCCCTTTACACCTGGCAGTCAGTATAGAGAGAGCCACCTCCATCTTAGCTCCCTGTCAATCATTGTTATAAGCTCCGCCCTTTACACCTGGCAGTCAGTATAGAGAGAGCCACCTCCATCTTAGCTCCCTGTCAATCATTGTTATAAGCTCCGCCCTTTACACCTGGCAGTCAGCATAGAGAGAGCCGCCTCCATCTTAGCTCCCTGTCAATCATTGTTATAAGCTCCGCCCTTCACACCTGGCAGTCAGTATAGAGAGAGCCGCCTCCATCTTAGCTCCCTGTCAATCATTGTTATAAGCTCCGCCTTACACTTAGCAGTCAGTATAAGAGAGCCAGCCTCATCTTAGCTCCCTGTCAATCATTTATTTATAAGCTCCATGCCCCACCTAACTTGCAGTCAGTATAGAGGCCGCCTCCATCTTAGCTCCCTGTCAGTCATTGTTATAAGCCCCGCCCTTAACACCTGGCAGTCAGTATAGAGAGAGCCACCTCCATCTTAGCTCCCTGTCAATCATTGTTATAAGCCCCGCCCTTTACACCTGGCAGTCAGTATAGAGAGCCACCTCCATCTTAGCTCCCTGTCAGTCATTGTTATAAGCTCCGCCCTTTACACCTGTCAATCATCATAGGAAGAGCCACCTCCATCTAAGCTCCCTGTCAATCATTGTTATAAGCTCCGCCCTTTACACCTGGCAGTCAGTATAGAGAGAGCCGCCTCCATCTCAGCTCCCTGTCAATCATTGTTATAAGCTCCGCCCTTTACACCTGGCAGTCAGTATAGAGAGAGCCGCCTCCATCTTAGCTCCCTGTCAATCATTGTTATAAGCTCCGCCCTTTGCACCTGGCAGTCAGTATAGAGAGAGCCGCCTCCATCTTAGCTCCCTGTCAATCATTGTTATAAGCTCCGCCCTTTACACCTGGCAGTCAGTATAGAGAGAGCCGCCTCCATCTTAGCTCCCTGTCAATCATTGTTATAAGCTCCACCCTTTACCCCTGGCAGTCAGTATAGAGAGAGCCACCTCCATCTTAGCTCCCTGTCAATCATTGTTATAAGCTCCCATCCCTTTACACCTGGCAGTCAGTATAGAGAGAGCCACCTCCCATCTTAGCTCCCTGTCAAATCATTTGTTATGGCTCCATTACATTACACCTGGCGGTCAGTATGAGAGGAGCCACCACCATCTTGGCTCCTGTCGTCCCATTTATTTATAAGCTCCGCCTTTACCTGGCAGTCAGTATGGAGGCCTCATCATAGATCCCTGTGTCAATCATTTATTTACACCTGGCAGTCCAGTATAGAGGCCACCTCCATCTTGGCTCCACCAATTGTCCAATCATTGTTATAAGCTCCGCTCTTTACACCTGGCAGTCAGTATAGAGAGAGCCACCTCCATCTTAGCTCCCTGTCAATCATTGTTATAAGCTCCGCCCTTTACACCTGGCAGTCAGTATAAAGAAGAGCCACCTCCATCTTAGCTCCCTGTCAATCATTGTTATAAGTTCCACCCTTTACACCTGGCAGTCAGTATAGAGAGATCCGCCTCCATCTTAGCTCCCTGTCAATCATTTTTATAAGCTCCGCCCTTTACACCTGGCAGTCAGTATAGAGAGAGTACCTCCCATCTTAACCCTGTCGTCATTGTTCTAAGAAATAAGCCTTTACACCCTGGCAGTCGGTATGAAGCCGCCTCCATCTTAGCTCCCTGTCAATCATTGTTATAAGCTCCGCCCATTACACCTGGCAGTCAGTATAGAGAGAGCCACCACCATCTTAGCTCCCTGTCAATCATTGTTATAAGCTCCGCCCTTTACACCTGGCAGTCAGTATGGAGAGAGCCACCTCCATCTTAGATCCCTGTCAATCATTGTTACACCTGGCAGTCAGTATAGAGAGAGCCACCTCCATCTTAGCTCCATGTCAATCATTGTTATGAGCTCCGCCCTTTACACCTGGCAGTCAGTATAGAGAGAGCCGCCTCCATCTTAGCTCCCTGTCAATCATTGTTATAAGCTCCGCCCTTTACACTTGGCAGTCAGTATAGAGAGAGCCGCCTCCATCTTAGCTCCCTGTCAATCATTGTTATGAGCTCCGCCCTTTACACCTGGCAGTCAGTATAGAGAGAGCCGCCTCCATCTTAGCTCCCTGTCAATCATTGTTATGAGCTCCGCCCTTTACACCTGGCAGTCAGTATAGAGAGAGCCGCCTCCATCTTAGCTCCCTGTCAATCATTGGTATAAGCTCCGCCCTTTACACCTGGCAGTCAGTATAGAGAGAGCCACCTCCATCTTAGCTCCCTGTCAGTCATTGTTATAAGCTCAGCCCTTTACACCTGGCAGTCAGTATAGAGAGAGCCGCCTCCATCTTAGCTCTCTGTCAATCATTGTTATAAGCTCCGCCCTTTACACCTGGCAGTCAGTATAGAGAGAGCCACCTCCATCTTAGCTCCCTGTCAATCATTGTTATAAGCTCCGCCCTTTACACCTGGCAGTCAGTATAGAGAGCCACCTCCATCTTAGCTCCCTGTCAATCATTGTTATAGCTCCGCCCTTTACACCCTGGCGGTCAATTGTAGAGGCCGCCTCCATCTTAGCTCCCTGTCCAATCCATTTGTTATAAGCTCAAGCCCTTTACACCTGGCAGTCAGTTGTAGAGAGCCGCCTCCATCTTAAGCTCCCTGTCAATCCCATTTATTTATAAGCTCCATCGCTTTACACCCTGGCGGTCAGTATAGAGCCTTCCATGCTGGCTCCTGTCAATCATTGTTATAAGCTCCGCCCTTTACACCCGGCAGTCAGTATAGAGAGAGCCGCCTCCATCTTAGCTCCCTGTCAATCATTGTTATAAGCTCTGCCCTTTACACCTGGCAGTCAGCGTAGAGAGAGCCACCTCCATCTTAGCTCCCTGTCAATCATTGTTATAAGCTCCGCCCTTTACACCTGGCGGTCAGTATAGAGAGAGCCGCCTCCATCTTAGCTCCCTGTCAATCATTGTTATAAGCTCCGCCCTTTACACCTGGCAGTCAGTATAGAGAGAGCCACCTCCATCTTAGCTCCCTGTCAATCATTGTTATAAACTCCGCCCTTTACACCTGGCAGTCAGTATAGAGAGAGCCACCTCCATCTTAGCTCCCTGTCAATCATTGTTATAAACTCCGCCCTTTACACCTGGCAGTCAGTATAGAGAGAGCCACCTCCATCTTAGCTCCCTGTCAATCATTGTTATAAGCTTCGCCCTTTACACCTGGCAGTCAGCATAGAGAGAGCCACCTCCATCTTAGCTCTCTGTCAATCATTGTTATAAGCTCCACCCTTTACACCTGGCAGTCAGTAAAGAGAGAGCCACCTCCATCTTAGCTACCTGTCAATCATTGTTATAAGCTCCGCCCTTTACACCTGGCAGTCAGTATAGAGAGAGCCACCTCCGTCTTAGCTCCCTGTCAATCATTGTTATAAGCTCCGCCCTTTACACCCGGCAGTCAGTATAGAGAGAGCCACCTCCGTCTTAGCTCCCTGTTAATCATTGTTATAAGCTCCGCCCTTTACACCCGGCAGTCAGTATAGAGAGAGCCGCCTCCATCTTAGCTCCCTGTCAATCATCGTTATAAGCTCCGCCCATTACACCTGGCAGTCAGTATAAAGAGAGCCACCTCCATCTTAGCTCCCTGTCAATCATTGTTATAAGCTCTGCCCTTTACACCTGGCAGTCAGTATAGAGAGAGCCGCCTCCATCTTAGCTCTCTGTCAGTCATTGTTATAAGCTCCGCCCTTTACACCTGGCAGTCAGTATAGAGCCACCTCCATCTTAGCTCCCTGTCAATCATTGTTATAAGCTCCGCCCTTTACACCTGGCAGTCAGTATAGAGAGAGCCACCTCCATCTTAGCTCCCTGTCAATCATTGTTATAAGCTCCGCCCTTTACACCTGCCAGTCAGTATAGAGAGAGCATACAGAGAAGAAATTAAACAATATTTGTATTTCCCTTCCTCATTTGCAACGTGTGCCTTGCCTGAACTGGATTATAAAGTCACTTGCTAAACCCTTAAAATATATTTAAAACAAATAGCGCTCATCAACAAAAAAGGTTAACACAATTTATACCTGATTTTCAATGGCGGTTCCCCTCTAAAACTCCATCACTATATATGGTATTATAAACCAATTTCGCTGATACCTGATACACACCATGAACTATTAGCACGGAGTGTTAAAGGATCCCAAGATACAGAGCATTTCAAGGATGTGTTTTTATGACGGCGTGTAGTCCTTCGTATATCTCCGCGATGCACTTACTCAGCTAGTGAAACTCAGTACAATGTGTCCAGCTCTCCTGTAAAATACAAGCTGTTAATAGCCATGTGCTAGGCTTAGAATTACAAACTGCATTCTGAAACCATCATTCATTAGGAATTCACAGGATCCTGTCACTCCAGGCTTGTACGAACGGAACACTGGCTGATTATTACGTAACGCGCTCTCATATAATATACCAGCCACTCCATAAACACGGATAATTTAACTCTCGACGTCTAGCTACGACATCTAACCAATACGGATTATAGTATAGCTGGACTCCACTATCAAGCCTTTTTGGATATAGAACAAAGTAAAGAACTGGCAGGTAAGCACCTGAGACGTCATCTAATCTATCTGCTTACCAATCTGTCTATGTATCTACCTATCTATCTATCTATCTATGTATCTACCTACCTATGATTGATA